AAAGCAAATGGAAATTGAGCTACCCTATGACCCAGCTATCCCTCTACTGGACATATTCCCAGAAGAGGTAAGAAATAGACCACAGCCAGTTGTCTGCACTCCAATGTTTATTGCAGCATGATTCACAATCACAAAGAATTGGAAACAACCTCAATTTCCATTAATAAACAAGTGAATTAGAAAACTCGGGCACATACATACAATGGAGTACTATGCATCCCTAAAAAGCACAGATGATCACAGGAAGCACATTGTCTCATGGGAAGAATTGGAGGAAATTATGCTAAGCGAAGCTAGCCAATCACAGTAAGACAAGTGCACCACGAGTCCACTGAGGTAAGTATAATCACAGTAGGTATAGAAGAAAAGTCACTTATCTCACACTATAAGGGTTGAGGTATAAGCAGTTGGGTGGGGAACAGGCCAAACCCAAGGATGTATATGTCAGTCCAACACAAAGAAGGGGAAAGGGGCAGGGAGAGGGAAAAGGAGGAGATGGGGAAGGATGATGGCACTGGGGGAGCAGGGCATTAACCCACCCGGGGGGAGAGTATTGCTTCTGTCTCCAAAGAATTGGGAGTGTGCATGCAAACCCCCCATCACTGTGCACCAAACCAAGACAATGTAACCCCAGCGAACAACACATGGGCTAAAGGGATGGCCCAAATCAGCCAACTAACCCCCTCCCTACAAGTGTGCTACAGAGAACAACACTAAACCTACGGGTTGGGGAGAGGGGCTGGTTTGAGATACCCACACAGAAGCAAACAAAGAAGGAAAAAGAAAGATTGAGAGGTCTAGACCCCATCTCGGCACACCAAGCCTGGAGAATGTCATCCCTGCATGGAGCTGCTGTGGCACAGAGAGGACTGAAGGGCCGACAACAGCTCGAGACATGATGACCCCTCACTGAAGCATACCGCGACAGAGGACAATCCTGAGGACACACAGTGGGACAAACCAAGAAGGGCACATAACAGATCAGCAATGGGAGCCAAGCCACAATGCCCCTGAGGAGCCCCCAAAATAGACTTCAGGCTAGGTGGGGTTGTTCCCTGAACCCCCCGGGACCAGTGGGGAGATAATCATAAAGGTAAGCAGACAGACCTGGAATTATCTATGCTTTTTCTTTTGCTAGTTATTATATATATATATATTTTTTTTTTTTCCCCCTTTTCTCTTCAGTCTTTTTTTTTCTTCTTCTTCTCTCTTTTTTTTTTCTCCTCTTTTTTAACATTTTATTAGGGGCTCATACAACTGTTATCCCAATCCATACACACATCAATTGTGTAGAGCACATTTGTACATCGTTTCTCAAAACATTTTCTCTCCATTTAAACCCCCGACATTAGGTCCTCATTTTTCCCCTCCCTCCCCGCTACCCCCCCTCCCTTCTCTTCAATCTTTTGAGTTTTTTTTATTGTCTATGTTATTGTTGGATTGCCAACCTATGTAAAATAGGCCTGAAGAGAAAGCAATGGGACCAAAAATCTGGAAGGACTTAGGGGGAGGAGGAGGCAAGAGAAGGGAGTGATGACCAAATAGCACTATAGGCAGGGGAACAACTAAGGAATTAAAATCAACAACGAGGAGGACGCACAGATCCTGGGGGTGTTGAAGCAGCAGCAATCTAGCTGACAGGAATTCTTAAGAGGCAGAAGAAGGGCAAGCATGATGGTGGGACAGGAGGAAGGTAAAAGGAAACAGGAAAATCTAGGAATCAAAGCTATGGATAGAGGTATAAACATAGGTGTGTAAATATGTAAATTATTAATTCGTTAGAGATATTGGCCTATGTACATATATTTATATGGCAATACACTGTGGAAGTGGACGGACTTTGGGCCTCTGCACAAGTCCTCCCTCAATGCAAAAACACTTTGTTCTAACAACCTGGCATTCTGTCCTGCTCACCCTCCCAACAAGATGGGTGCAAAAGCAAATGTGGTGGTGATCAAAGCTGATGGTGACAGCTGTCAAAAGATATAGAGTCTGGAGTCTTAAGACTTAAAGTTAAACAAGCAGCCATCGAGCAGAGAAGCAACAAGTGCACAGGAAGAAGCACACCAGCCCGTGCGATCTTGAGATGACAGGAGCAGGGAACAGGCACCAGAAGGTACAAAACACACACAAAACATTTTTGAGAACAAGGTGGGGAGGGGGGTCAGAGCAGAGACCCCAAACCCATCTGTAGACCACGTGATATCCCCTCACAGAGGGGTGAGTCAATCAGGGTGCAGTATAGCACCCATGAAACACACTATTCCTCTGGTTCATTGAGGCTTCCTCACCCCTCACTATCTCGACCCCAGCCCTGCCTTTCACTGTGGACTAGGCTGGAGCATGTACACAGGTACAGATAAGAGCTCAGGACGTATGGAATCCAGGTCAGATAAGCCACTGAGGAACAGAAATGGGAGTAGTGATACCAGGAGGGTAGTGGGAAGGTGGGGAGAGAAGGGGAAAAACCATGGAAGGGAGCCAGCGGTAGGTGTAGGATATGAAAATAATAATAATTTATAATTTAGCAAGGGGTCACGAGAGTGGGAGGGGGTGGGGGCAAAAAGAAGAGCTGATGCCAAGGGTTCAAATAGAAAGTAAATGTTTAGAAAATAACAATGGCAACCTATGTCCAAATATGCCTGGTACCCTGATGTATGGATTGTGAGAAAAGCTGGGAGAGCTCCCAATGAAATGATATTAAAAATAAAATATACATAGAATGGCAAATTAATAAAGAACTAAAATCACTTTACACTCTGAAAAAAAGAGAAAAAGAAAAGAAGAAGACCCAAATCCTCACAACTGGACCAATAGGTAACATGATGATAAGTGGAGAAAAGATTCAAGATGTCAAGGATTTTGTCTTGCTTGGCTCCGCAATCAATGTTCATGGAACAGCAGTCAAGAGATCAAAGGACACACTGCATTGGCTCTATCTGTTGCACAGGACAACTTCCAAGCAGGTGAATGTTGGACACCGAAGAGGGAACATTGATGCACTTGAATGGTGCTGTTGGCAAAGAATATTAAAAGTACCATGGACTGCCTAAAGAACAGAGAGATCTGGCTTGGAAGAAATACAACCCACGTGTTCCTTTAGAGGCTACGGTGGTGAGACTTTGCTTCATGTAATTTGGACTTGCTATCAGGAGAGGCCAGACCGTGGAGCAGAGGTAAAGCGGAGGGGCAGAGGGGGAAAAGGCGGCCCTTCACAAGATGGATTAACACAGGGGCTGCAACAAGGGGCTCAAACATGAGAAGAACTCTGAGGACAGCCCAGGAGCAGACAGTGTTTCGTCCTGTTGTGCACAGGATCGCTGCGAGTCAACCACCTCAACGGCACTGACACCACCATCACCAGCAGAGACGAACACGTGCATCATTTATAACCCACAAGCCTATTCATCACAGTCCCACGTGGGAAATAATGTTTATCTGCATCCATGGTAGAATGAATATTTACCCACTCAACATATTATAATGCACGTAAGTGAACAGATGACTCGTACAGGCAGCAAATGAATCTCACCAAGATGATGTTGGGCAAAACAACAGACGAAAATGAACATCGTGACATATGATGTCATCTATATGAAATCTATAGAGAGGAAAATGTATGGTATTAGAAGTCAGAATAGTGGCTGGCAGTTGTGAATGAACAATAAAGCAGCTTCTGGGACGACTACTATTTTGTTTCTCAATCTCGGATATAACATAGATAGGTAGACCTTGTGAAAATTCATCAAGCTATGCACTTTTCTTCTCTGTGTGTTATACATAAAAAAAAAATAACACGAGTGGACATGGAATTCTGAAAGCTGGAAAATGAAAAGGAAAGACTAAAAGAAGAATGGAAGGACTTGGGTGGTGATGCTAGAGCAAAATATAGAAGAACGCCACAGACTATCAAAGAACAAACCTATCTGTCACAGAAGAGCAGCCAGAGCGCACCTTAGAGCAGCAGTTCTCAACCTGTGGGTCGCGACCCCTTTGGGGGCGCAAACAACCCTTTCACAGGGGTCACCTAAGACCATTGGAAAACACATACATATTTCACAACATATAATTACATATTGTTTTGTGATTAATCACTATGCTTATGTTCAATTTGTAACAGTGAAAATACATCCTGCATATCAGATCTTTGCATTACTATTCCTAACAGTAGCAAAATGAAGTAGGAACGAAAATCATTTTATGGTTGGGGGTCACGGCAACACGAGGGACTGGATTAAAGGGTCGCGGCATTAGGAAGGTTGAGAACCACTGCCTTGGACGCACGGGTGGCAAGACTTCATCCTGCCTGGATTGACGTGTTACCAGGAGGACCTTGCGCTCAGTCAAACAGGGTCGGTGAGACAGGAAGGCTCTCAGTGAGCAGGACCGATGCAGTGGCTGCAGCAGCAGCCTCAGACACAGTTGCATTGGAGGACGGCCACGTGACCGGGCGACTTGACCGGCAACATTGCCTTTTACCATATATTGGGTCGCTGTGAGTTGGAGCGGACCCAGTGACAATTGACAACAACAATATAAATGGAAACGAATGAAAAGAAAAGAATTACTTGCCATTTATGAAATCTCTCATGTGTTTGTGATACACATCTATAATTCAAAACACATCAGTGTTGGTGTTTTCCAGAATCATAGACCCAAAGGGATTAAAACCCTGAACTTCAGGTAACGATAGCACAATGGTCACAACAAAGCAACTGTCGTTAAACGAAAGCAAAACCATACCATTTTGCTTCAAATGCTAAGTGACTCTCAAAATAAAACAATTTTAGTTTTTAAAGCAATGATTTGTGGTAGACTGACCTAAACTCATCAGAAAAGGGCACTTGCGTGTAAAATTATCTTAATAAAAGAATGAGACGTCCGTTTACGAATAGACTGCATAGAAAATCTTTAACATCACATTGATTTCGAGATTCTAAGAACTAGTAAATCTTTGCCAGTGCGTTCACTTCTGGATTCTAATAATTTTCTCAACTTACCAAATAAATGAGTGCTGCATATGAAGCGTACATTATGCTGGTTAAAGCAGTCTTTGCTGGGAAGGAAATAATTTCAAACAAAGAACCACCTCTGACCTGTGAAGCAGAAAACAGTTTTATTCAAAGCAAAACTTCAACAATAGGGTTATCGTCCAATGCCAATTTAAACATTTCTTTCAATTTACAGCTGTCTGGCCCCGCCCACCCCACAGCATTCAGAGAATGCATTGTTTATTTTTCTCCTTTTAAAACAAGATACTCAGTTATGACATTCAGGATGGGTAAAGCTATAGACAGTAACTGGATTAATGGTTCCAAAATGGAAGAAAATATTTTAAATTTTATTGTAGTAATGATTGTACAACTCTTCTGAAGATGACTGGACTACTGAATCTTAAGATTTGTGAATTATATGCCAATAAAACTTACAATGTTTTACTGTTCAAACTTTTTACAATGACCAACTATGGTCACTAGGGGGTGCTGTTATGCATAGTAGAAAAACAAGTCTTTGTTTAAATTCATGTGATCCTTCTTTACAAACTTATTCACATCCTCAATGAAAGCCAGCAGTAATCCAATATGAAGCATTTCCCAGAGATTAATGGTCTGTGTGGAAATGTTAATCATGAGCTGTCTGAAGGGCAGCAGCAACATTCGAGGATCACTAAGCTTCCAAAGGTGCTCAGTACTCTTATGGAACAGGCTTTTTTGAAATGTAGAAGTTTATGCCAGTAACGATTTTCCTCCCAGATACTTCTAGTTACTGGCACAAGAAGGCATTTCTGCCTCAAATATATCAGAATCACACACTCAGTTCAAGGGGATCAATCTGCGTACAGGCCACGCTTGGACATTAAGCAAAACACCCCTTTGCCATTCAGCAGAGGTGGCAGTTGGACAGAGCCCAGACATCAGTGGCTTCAGAGAGCTCCCCGAAGGCACAGGCTGTGCGGAGCTAATAAAATCGTGCGTGCGCTATAAAAATGCACAAAACCAAAAAGAACAGTGAGTAACGTCTTCACAAAAAAAGTTGTTTTTGACAAAAACTGAATGAACCAGCAGGAGCAGACTTGTAGGTAAATGATACTGTGTCCATCCAGTGGTGTACTGTGTAGCCTTTGAAACAGTTGCTTCCAAAGAAGATAATGCGATGACCTTTTATTGAACAAACTTACTACATGAAGAGTGCTGGTGGCCTATGGCCACCAGGTTGGAGGGTGGGGTGGGGCACGGAGGGTATTGCCTGTTGGGCTGCTACCCAAGAGAGCAGCATTTTGGACCCAGCACCTGCTCCAGGGAAGAAACTAAAGGCTCTCTACTCCACGTGGAGATTTCATCTCAAAGAAGCTAGGGAACGGTTCTTTCTACTCTGACCCATTGGGTGGCCACAAATCAGAATCAACTGTTTGCAATGGGTTTGCTTTTTTGTTTCATGCGGTGCTGTGGGCCAGACCTTGACCTGAGTGCTTTAGGAACATCAACGCCTTTAATTCCTAAGCCAACCTCATGAAGTAGGGTTCTGATCACCTGCCTTCTTCTGATGGAGAAACAGAAAAGGAGAGGTAGGAGATTTGTCCAGGATGACCCAGCTACCCAGTGGGTAGCAGAGCTGAATATAAGCTGGGTATTGTGTGCAGGCCTGGGGGCTGGGGGCTTGGGGAGGGGGGCACTTCACCTGACCTTTAATTGAGCTACCAAGAGGGCAATGCCTTGGAATATGCTGCTTATGAAGAGATGGCACAGAATTAAAAGGATACCCTTTGGATCTGAAAGATAACGGTTTGCGTCCTAGCCAGGATATACTAAGCAATGAAATCTTGGTCAAATTGGGTATTCCCTGATCTCTAAAGTGGGGAGAAGTGCTACTTCATAGGTTACTGTGAAGATCATAAGAAATTGCTTGAAAATATAGAATGCCTTTACATGGGAAATGTTTGTGGACTGGGTACACATTATTAGTGCCCTTATCAAACATGAGAACAATCAAAGGTCAGGCTTGTAAGCATAAAGTGGCATGAGACCACTTATGAAACACACAAAACTGGGACAAACTAATCCACGCTGTTGGAAGGCAGGCGAGTGCTGGGTGGGATGCACGGCATGAAGGCCACACATGGAGACTGCTTGGCTCCGGCTTACTGAGGTGTGCTTAATTTACTAACGTGCATGAAAGTGCACACTTCATGAACTGGGCATTTTCTGTATCTTATACACTATACAGTGAACCCTCGCCACTTCGCGCTTTGACTTCCGCGGCTTCACTCTATCGCCGTTTTTTGGGTAACAGCGCATGCTCTGTCATTACTGCCACTGATTGGCTCATACTGTACACGCTTCTGTCTGCATCGCTACGTATCGGAGCTACGTATCAGATGCACTTTTGCTTTTGTACAGTGTATTGTAATTGTTTGCAATTTTAAAGAAATTTTATCTAAGCCCTATGATGGCTCCTAAACGAGCTGCTTCTTCTAAGCCTTCTGACAATAAAAATAAGCGCCAGAGGAAGATGCTCACCATCCAGGAAAAGGTAAAACTTTTGGATATGATCAAAGATGGCAAGAAAATCGTGGAGGTTGCACGCCATTTCGACTTGAATGAGTCTTCCATTTGCTCCATCCGTTGTACTTCATAATATAATAAATAATAAATGATAATTGTAACGTCCAAAATGTTTTACTGCATTTTCCCTTTTTCGTTTAATAAATTGGGTAATAGAAGTGTAATGGTGACTAAAGGGTGTTTTTTCATGTCCTCTATGCTCTAACTATGAAAATATTTGATTTACAAATAAGGAATCCTACTTTGCGGAATTTCATTTATCACGGTAGGGTCTAGAACCGATTAACCGCGATAAACGAGGGTTCACTGTATTCTATTATTCAGTTAAACCAGTTAAAGAATAATTAAATGACCAGTATTTTTTATGATGAACATGAACACAGTTAACACTGCGTAGAAAAGTTTGGGTTGAAATGCACTAAACTCTTCTTAGCTGCTATGTTTTGGTAATAGAACTTCGTGTGGTTAATGCTTACAAAGTGCTTATAAAAGCAGCTCTGGTGGTGGATTTGGCTAGGCATTGGGCTGCTAACCATAAGGTCAGCAGTTCAAACCTGCCAGTTGCTCCTTGGGAGGATGAGAATGTCTGCTCCCACACAGATTTAAAGCCTTGGGAACCCAGAGGGGCATTTTGTTCTATTTGGTACCTATATGCTGGCTAGGAGTCAGAATCCACTTGATGGCAGTGAGGGGTTTGTTTATTTGTTGTTTGTTTGTTTGTTTTCTGTTGTTTTCTATACATGTGAAGGAGCCCTGAGGGTACAGTGGTTAGCATCTCAGCTGCTACCTAAAGATTGGCCGTTTGAACTCACAAGCTTGTCTGCAGGAGAAAGATGTGGCAGTCTGCTTCGGAACCAACTTCAACCTTGAAAACCCTCTGCGACAGTTCTATTCTGTCTCCCCATCAGGTCACTATGAGTCGGAATCAACTCAATGGCAATGGGCTTGGTTTCAGGTTTTTCAATTGCATGCCAGACCTGATGTTGATTGTCTCAAGTTATCTGCTGACAAGACTATGAATGCAAAACGCAGGCCCAGAGACTTCAACTCTCTCTTTCCCCCTCCATTTTCAAACTTAGGGCCACAGAACACACGCTATAAATGTTAGAGTGTGCACGTGCTTTGCATCCTGCTGTACAGGGTAGGTTCTGACCGCTGCCACTATGGAGTGAAGAGCAGAAGATCCCATCCCAGTTTCCCTGGCTCCCTTTTGAAGGACTTGGACATGCTCAAGCCAGGATACTCTAGCCTAGTAGTCAGAGAGGATTTAATTTTCTTCCTCTCCACTCTTCAGGCCACACCAGCTCCCAGATGGAGAGACAGGTGTGGCGGTGTTAGTCTCCTCCCTTCGTAAGTCACCCTGGAAAGTTTCCCAGAGTGCCTGGTTTCTGGAGAGAATTTCAAAGAAACGAAGCAACAGCTGCTGCTCTCCTCCTCTTGCTAGAAAATGGTAAAATGAGAATGTCTTTGCGTCCCACCACGAGGTGACCAGGAGACAAGCCTGGACAAGAAGCGAGCAGAGATTACGAAGAGCTTCCCCAGCCCAACCATCTGCCGTCTCACAGAGTGAAAAGACTCATGAGCTTGGGAACATATGAGCAACCGCACGTGCCGATGACCAGATTCAATCACTTTAAAGGTTGCGTTTATCAAAGATTTTCCTTTAATTAGATCCACAGTCAATGCCCGTAGACGTGGCAATCAAGAAATAAAATAACATTAATTTGCTGCAAAAGACTTTTTGAAAGTGCTAAAGACCAAAAATGCCACTTGGAAGACTAAGGTGTGTCTAACCCAAGAGCTGTTATTTTCTGCCACCTCCCATGCACCAGGAGACTGAAGAAGAACTGATGTATTTGAACGATGGTGCTGGTGAGTAACATTGCATATGCCATGGAAGGCCAGAAGAATGAGCAGGTCTGTTTGGGAAGAAGTACAGCCAGAATGCTCCTTAAAAGCAATGCTGCTGAGACTTTTGTCTCTTGTACTTGGAGTATGCCATCAGGAGTGGCCAGACTGGAGACACGGAGCTTAGTTACGTGGAGGGGCAACTAGACAGAAAAAGAGCCACGATGAGATGGATTGACATGGTGGCTGCAACGATGGGTTCGAAGCAGTAGAGACTGCGAGGAGCTCACAGGGCTGGGCGCTGCTTGGTTCAACTGTACAGCCAATCAGCAGCACCTGGACAGCACCTAACAACAGAACGTCGCGTTAGAGAAGAAAAGTGGTGTCTGCATGAAAAATTGTGTCTCTATTTCTTTTTCAGAGGGGGGCACCTAAAGTAACTTAAATGAATCCATGTCTAAATCAGTATAGATTTGATATACACTATGTTTGGTGGTACGGGCCACGTGCTGGATTGCTATCCAAGAGATCTCGGCTCAAATCCACCCAGGGGCCTTGCAATCTCCAGGCTTGGCAATCTTCCCAAAGGTCAGTCTTAAAAACCCAATGGAGCAACTCTTCTCCGCACAAATGCAGTGGCCATGACTTTTGGGATAGACTTGGTGGCAATTTACAATGGTCACAAC